GCCACTTCTAAACTCATTATCCCACCAAAAATCTCCCGCGATTCTCCATATGTACCGAAAATTCGCATTTGCCTTCGACCATCACCGTCGCTTGACAAAAATTGTGAGATGGGCACTTCGCTAGGATCAGATCAAGTTCTTCGTGAAGATTCTTCTCATTCCGACAATGGCATGGAACAACAAGACCCCAGTGCTTCTTGCGAAGACCAAAGGTTGCCGACCGTAGGAGACAGGCCTTCAAAGGCTTCCGGAAAACAGAAACCACCTCCCTTGGTTCGATAGTATTTTTGCTTATTTCTGTCTACAGGATTTGAATAAAATCGAGGGCTCACGCAGTTCGAGAAAACGGAAGTCACTGGCATCTTTTGATAACATTGATCTGGAAAGGCGGGATTCTATCCTAACCAAAATCAGTCTTAAGGTAAGTCAAAGCATCGTCATTTTGACTCTTTTTGCTTGCTCTGTCGTAAGATGGTACGTCTTAATTTTCTGAAATAAAGTTTTTTTCTCACTTACTTGCACGCGTATATTTCGCAAAGAGAGTAATGGCGAAGTCTAATACTAAAAAAAGAACCTACAGGTTATAACTCGATTGTTCCAACGAACATAAGTTGAACAGAAACTTAGTAGCTCGGATTCGGGAATGTACTTCCCTTGATCCCTAGCCTATGCGCAAAACGAAGCTCTGTGTCCCCTCATAAGTTTTAGCGTAATTCGAAACCGAACATCTTCGGTAACATTCACGTATACTTTCGAAGTTTGAAATTCTTCGCGATCCCTTAGGGATGTTTGCCTTCGGTGTCCTCGGCTGTCTCATTTAAGTGCTAAGGTTGTGATCGTAGTCTTGAAGTCTCATGGATGTTCATTTCAGGTTGCAGCAGCGACGTCTTCCAACTCCCTAATTTGCAAACAATCTTAGTGCAACATGAATATTCTGTCCATCAGATTAGTGATATTTATTGCCTCTTATCTACATTCCGTATACAACGACGAGGACTCTCCTGTTGACCGTAAATACAAATGGACTTAATTTTGTTCGGCATTTCGGTAATGTTCACGAAGAATTAAGCACGTTTAGTTGTTAGAAGGTGATGGTAGTAAACCTTTATTATTTCCGTTTTTTCACCCATCTCAGGTAATTTTAGCGAATTTCCCCTGAGTCCTCCTTTGACAATGAACGCGACTTTTCTGCCGTATTTGGTGTTTGCATTTTCTCGAACATTGCTTATGCTTTCCCAAAGCATCACTATAGCACGTATGCCGTAAAGTATTCATCAGCTTGTCACATCCGCTCTAGCATGAATTTAAATTTTCGAAGTTAATCACATTTCTCGTTGATAAGGCTCTTAGAAGCCTTGCACCTGTACTCTTTGAGCGCTTTGCCTCCACCTCCGCATGAGCATCACGTTACTCCATTTTTTACTAGTTCTTTGCCGCGTCTTTCTTCTTTAAAGAGGCGATTAAACAATTATTTTTAATTGGTATTTTTTTTCAAAATCAAACGTAGTCCATCAACAGCGTTCAATAAAATGTCTGACATTTTTTAGCTGCAGGCACTCATTTAAGCTCGAGACTTCGAAGGCTTGTTCTCAGGACAGCCCTCATCGGTAGACGAAGTGTTGAAGCTGCCGATATTATGTAGAGTTGTATTTCGCCATGTCTTTTGTTCTGCACCCATATCAACAGTAATCTTTAATTTGTCTATAAAAATGCAAAAGTTTTGAAAAATAGTACCCAGCGAGTAGCATATATTTTCCCTACCTCGGCTGCGCGTAGTTTGAGGAAGGCGATGACCTACTCCTTTTTTTACGGAACACCTCACGCTTCAGCTGACTACGAAAAATTAATCGGGAAATGTATGTAACCATCTCATTTGTCCTAAGTTTGTCACTTAAGTGTTGAGTTAAACATTTTAGAGAACACTTCAGCTCGCGTATACCGGTTACTTGCTATCGTCTTAGATGAATTCTCGAGACATGTGAAATAGATCAGAGAGACTTCTGTTCTCCCCGTTGTCATCCGCTCTAGGTTACAGACAAGGCATATTTGTAGGAGTAATGATGGCGTGTAGTTCTTCAGTTGGGCTTTTTGTAGAAGTGCCTTGGGAAGCAGATTCGCTTTATATATGGTGGGAATTAAATTGGATTGTTCACACCACGTGCAGCAGCTGCAAAACGGATAACCTAGGAAAACTAGTATTCAGTCAGGACAGGACCGTTAAGCCACGTATAAAAACTATGTATAAAAAAACTATAAAAACTATCAATACTATAAATAAATAAACACTATAAATAAATACTATAAATAC